GTGGTGGTCCCTACAGCGAGACAACATCAGCATATCCTTCGGTGGGATCCAAAGATCACGTACCAGGCATGATGTTGATGCGCACGTACTTGTCCATACAGAAGAAATACATCATCTGTTTGAACTCGGGACGCGGGTCCGGGGAGCACGGCATCAATATTCCCGAAGCCGGCCTTTGACGAACGACGGCCATTGACCAACTAGCAGATTGTGGCCCTGACACGATCGTGTCGTCCGTCGTGCCGGGCGCGACCTGATGATAAACATAGTGGTTCCCACAGAAGAAGTAGGCCTGTCCAGGGAGGAAGAGGATGCAGGACTGCTGCACTGCTTAGCCGTGGGATGGGCTTGATGCTGAGCGTGTCGTCTACGTCGGCCGTCTCCAGCCACACGCATGAGATCGTCGCCACTACCGGCGGCACGGCGGCGGCGCAGCTCATCTTGTCCTGCGCCACCATCGGGGTCCGCCGCTCCGTCGTGCTCAGTGAAGAAGATGACGGGACAGGGATGCCACGAATTGGTGGCGGCAGGGCCTCAAGTGGCGGGATATGGCCTCGCGGGTTCAGCTCATTGTCGAAGCGCGGGTTGTCCCAGATGCGAACGAGCTGTGTCCCACTGTACTCTCGTGCGGTCCGGATGAACTCACGACGGATGCCTCCTGGGAACGCAATCTCGTGTTGGTTCGCATACTGATGACCGTCACCCAGGACATGGTTGACGTCGATACCACCATAAGCGAATATCTCATACTCGAACCGGTGCCGGGTGGCTGTCGTCACTCGTGGGCTGCCAGCGGACGAGCGCGTTGCGGTTGTTGCGGTAGTACCGCGCCGTGCCAACAAAGATTGAGCGGACGTTCGTCACGACATACTGACGGAGGTGAATGCTTCATCGGGAAAGTTGCCGTTCGATGGCGACACCCATGGCTGGAAGCCATTCCAAAACGCGTCAATTGGGGTGCAGAGTGTCCCAGCGGATGAGCCGCTCGGCAGCGGTGGGGACGTTCCGCTGAGTGGTGGCATTCTGCACCTGGGCAGGGCGGAACATGTCGGACGGCGCGTTGGTATCATTCGGGATGGCCAATCTGTGAATGTGATCCATGACTTCGTCCGCCCTGTCGCGGAACCAGGGGATGACGGAGGGCACAAATAGATCGCGGCTCATTATGACCTTATAAATGGGAAGAGTAAGAAAGGTTTTTGACTAGTGAGGAGACAAGCAGGCCAGATGATTAACTCACTTTACGAATAACTGGAGAGTTGATAGCTGTGGAACTTTGAGACGGTGCTGGGGATGAGTCCTGGAAGGGTGAAGAGCAGTGATACTGCAAGACCAGCTTTATATCGGTTTGCTAACAGAAAACCAACTTTCCTGTAAGCAGGCCGTTGACATATTCGCAGAATAAATCACCGGTAGGCTGACGTTATCCGCCGTAGGAATGTCCATTCGCTTCTTAGACTTCACATGGAAAACAGATATGTAAAAATCCCCGACGAGAGGCGTACATTCCGATCAGGAAGGACGGGTATAGCACAGAGCCGTCCGAGAGCATCGCGGAACAGGAAGATAGGTACTTGAACCCGTACATGGGAAAGCGAATGGTGCCAATGACATGGTACTGTTTTGACCAACAAGATCTGTAAACGAGCATTCCAAAGAATGGAAAACGCCATAAGTTTGAGAACTCCGGCTCCTCCTGCCCTCTTGATTCTGCTGTACTTCAAAATTAGCTATCGACTGCGAGATACTTCATGTGAAAAAAGTACCATTTTGTACGTTCAATAGTCTATGAAATGTTTTGCCCTGCAGAGACTCACCGCTACCGCTACCACTTAATGTTCATTTCCTTTCACATATCAAGACAGTGGATACCCACGACTACAACGGGTCATGCCAACCGGAGCTATCAGATGTTCGGGCGGTTTTCCTGTTGTTAATGGTCACAATGCTACTTCATTATCGTTCGAACGCTTCATTCTTACCGGCGCGATGAGCACTGTTTATACAAACAGGAGCAAAGGAAAAATCGATAGTCTAGATTTTAATGTTGATTTGCTTCAATCCAGTTCCAGGGGATGTCCACCGTACCCGGATGCAGGTACGGCAAACCTTCATTCCTACTTGAACACACGTAGACGGTCCAAACCTGTTATCAGGCTCATTCATCGGAGAGATAGAATTGATCTTTACGCCCTTTTTAATGAAATGCGAAGTCACTTCACCCAGGAAAGCCTCATATGCTGCTCCGGTACCTAATAGTAACATCAGCATCCTTCGAGAGCATACTCAACCATTATAAGACCTTACATAGTAACAAACTGATTATCATAACTCGTACCACCCGATGTTAATGGCGCAGGTGTATTATTCCGCGGATATAGTCGGGCCCAACGGACCCTACTTCGCTGCTCCGTCAAGCAATACAAGCTCTGCACGTCCGCGGACACTTGTACCCCCCGAGTAACGTGGAAGGTCTGCGAAGTGCTGGCGGGGTTCGATGCATTGAAACATCCTTTCCCGGTGTTCCATCGATAGCTCGACATTCCCAGGCCATCTTGGAAGAAGAGCAGGTCTGAGAGGTTCTGACGCGTCACTTCTGGAAAGCGGTACTCACAAGGCTACAGAAGCTTTGGGTTTCCTGGGGCGTTTCCTGCCAAGCACATGATATGCCGATTCCGTATCTCTGGATATTTGAAACGTCAGATGGTCAGAATAGATAGAAATTTTTGATTATTCGTTGTCGTTGTAGGAATAGCAAAGACGATCCGAGTCTCGTTTTGGCTCCTCAGACCCGCGAGGAGTCCTTGAATATGCGACCACAGTTATTTGCGATGGCTCCGGCAGGTTTGTAGTTGCAGGACGGTCGGAGGAATACAGGATCGTTTGCCAGGGTGTCTTCATCAAACCTTAGCGTTTTCGAAATGATCGGATTAACTGGGCAAAGCGTCAGCATTAAAGATAGATAAAGGAAAATGAAAGTAAAGGACACAGTACGGGGTTATTTATGCATTGGAGGAAGGAAATACATCCCGAATGATTTGCCAGACCACAGCTGAGTGCAGCTCAGATTTCAAACGACCATTTGACTCAACCCTGACATTTTGATCTCATGCCCGCTACTATCACGCCCGAGTTCCAGAGATAGCTATTCCTGAATCCAAGTAAAGGTCTGGAAGGGAAAGCAAACGCATTATTGATGGCGAATAAGTCGCACGGTGATAGTTTTTGAAAATTCGCCCTTCGTACAGCCACCACGTGAATCCCAAAAGAGGATAATGGCACTTGAGCCTACGCGTGCCACGAGTCAGCTCGTCTTGACCATGTCTGCCACTTTCCACCATCCTGCGATTCTGCTCCGTCACTGCGCACGCCAGCCCCAGCCAGCCCCTTCCAGGACCGCCGACTTCCTCCTCAGGATCACGATTCACGAAGCCAATCAAGTCGGGCCAGTCCCAGTCCAGCGCGCCAACATGCGCTCTGCAACGTTTACACGCCGCCGCCTCCCGTACCTCCATCACACCGTCAACCAGGGGATGATCTTGTTCAACAGGGGTGATGCCCCTTTGCTTATAGATAGTATATCTTAGCTAGGTTGAATAAATACTCTTACTTTTTACTACAAGTCCTGTTGTATATGATTTAAATCTTCTGTAAATTGGTAAAAATTCATCCTAAATTCAGCATTGTTATAATTCCTACTAAGTCAAAATTTTGAACAATGAGTGGCTTGCACGCGTGGAGGACCGAATCCACGTGGATAGCGCCTCAGCCGAACCAGCTCATTGCGTGACTTCCTTTTCAGGTCGTCACATCACGGTAACGGAGGGCGAATTTGAGGCAACTCACGGTGATAGACGGCAAATCCTCGGTAAAAATGGGACCACGTGGCCTAACCGGCAGCACAGAATCCCGGTGCTCCCTATTGCGACCGCATACAGGTTAAACTCTAACATCTCAGATTATCTCTCAATACACAACTACGGTGAGGTTCTAGGCCCCGCTATGCTATAGATAAGTAGTACCGCACAGATAAAGCTCTTTAACGTAAGATTACATTGTCATTTCTAAAGGCTACTCATTTGCTACAATTTACAAACTGTAACGCGAAGCGGTACTTGCTCTCCTTCTTTAGTCTTCCCTTTTACGACCGGTGAAATGGCCTGCGCCCCGAAAGCATGCATCACTTCAAAGCCCTCTTCGGGAAGACTGAACTTGAACGAGCTTAGAAGCTCTGTCACGATTACTTGCATTTCCAAGACACTGTATCCGTACCCGTCTTGAATAAGTACTGAATCGCATTTGCGAAGAGCGGCACTCACGCAAACTTCCACCTATGCCAGATACCGATAAACGAGATATTTTTCTTCAAGTGGAGGACGAAACGTACCCAATACATGAACGAATACCAGCACCTAGGGTGACAAGCTCCAGCTTCAAGACCTTGGAGAGATAAGAACTACTCACTAAATGACATCCTGCGAGATACTTAGCAAGTGAAGAATCGACTGTTAAATAGAAAAAGCCTCACAGATTGGCATAAACACCTAGGGGAGTCTGATTATGCCGCTGAGGTTGAAGAAATCTATCCGGGTTCCATTTGTCGGCGTCTTCTCCCCAGACACTCGGTAGCCTGCCCCAAGGCAAGTAAACCAAAAGATCACTATGAGAAGTTGCAGTCTATACCTGTTGTAGATGTATATCGACGCAACGACAACTTGGCCTTTAGGTATCGGAATCTCTGATATGATGCTCCCGTCTGACGCAGTCACTGGTTCGGAGAGAGGGAGGACGTCTTCTCTACTGGAAATCCGATTCAGCGTTGCAATAAAAGGGTGAAATCTAAGTGTTTCCTAGAGCATGATAAGTACCGTTGAGTCTCGACACTTTAACGCGTTGAGGTCACTGACTTTGATTGCAGCATTCAAGATAGGCATCGAATCATAATCGCTCGACGAAGGATCGCGCTCCCGCATCTCACTGATCTCGTGATGAATACGACGCTGAACATCAGGATGACGGCTGAGTTCGTACAGAAGCCATGATGTCGTGTTTGATGTCGTGTCGTGCCCGGCAAAAATAAAAGTCCTGTCAAAGTACAGGTCAACAGCCAAGAAACACATCTTAGGCTCGTGACTTACGCCAACTGAGAATAGATCTCATCGTCACTCATTCGTTTCTTGGCATCTTGATTTAAGTACGATAGTGCTTGATTGCGATGTATTAGACCCTTTTCGAGAGTGACAAAAGGCACCATTTACCGAGGAGATTCACGATGTCTTTCTCTTCATCCTGGGCAGCAACTTTCAGCTGCTTCTGAAATATACCACGAGCTACTCGCTGAGAAGATTCTCTGAAGCGATGGAAACGGCGGGTGACTCGTAGCGGGATACCTTCGAGCATATCTGAGGCAAATTCAGGAAGAATACGCCATAGAGCAGGGTACAGAAGTTCGATGCTGGATGGTGACGTTTGAGACTCGATGCTATGGAAATTTGTCAGAAGTAGGTCACGAAAATGGTCGTACATACATTAGGTTGTGTAATGTATCTTTTAGTTCTGCTTGTTGTTCGCCGTCGTCCAAGGCGTTGAAATGATACCGAAAAGAGGCTACCCCCTGCTCTCTAAGAAATACTAGGCAGTAAAGAAACTGCACACTCACTTATACCAATGATGTCCAGGGCGATTCTTTTTATCCATTCAAGAACGTCAACTACTTTTTCATCATTTCCATTGATTTTGATATCACTTTTGAGTCTATCAGTGAGCTGATATGTATGGTCAATTTATGTTTACTAGAGGAGGTCGTCTAGCTTGCCTTTCGAGCCATACTTTGAAAGAGGATAAGATATCGATGAAGCTGTGCAGCCGAGAACGCCGGATTTAAGACTTTTCGTTGACACTGGTGGATTTTCCCTAGATGATAAGGCCAAATTTAATTGGGCATTGAGGTGACGAGAACCACTTACCTGCGACAGTGACCATCCCTTGCCCAAACAAGCTTCTCGCTGCTAGGTCAGAGTCGGCAGTTTTGGGGAATCGATATCCCGAGGTATGGAAGATGTACTGCAAGGCCTTCGGGTCGGACAGTATCAACACATCTTGCTTAAAAGTTAAAAGATGGTCAGTGCTCTTCCAGGAACCATAATTCACAAGTGCGTTTACGCCAAAGCATCCACCGATACGATATGCGCCACCGTACTGGCGCAACCATTGCATTTCAAGATCCCCTGGTTTCTCAACTTGATTACGCAGCTGCCATTCATGACCTGCAATGTGCTCAACCAGTCAGAGTTGAAGGTGTAGATACGAGCAACAAACGAACCAAGCAAAAGCGAAGGCCGCGGGGGTCCTCGCAGCCTTGCCACAAGCCTTCGTCGACGACGGAGTGGAAATACCGTTAAAAAGATTAAGAGACTCAGCAAGACGACGAGATAGTGGGAAAGCGACAACATGTTCACGAAGTGGGAGTCCACAGAGCCTAGAAGTATTATCAACGCCACTTACTCCGAGAGTGTCAGTCTTACATACTTGTGGAGACATGTGTTCAGAATCATTGCGATAGGATGCAGTAAGGGAGAGATCACAAGCTACGGAAAGTTTCCTTCGATGTGTATTGTCAAGCACATGATATATCCACTTTGATCTCGGGATATTTGAAGCGCCGGATAGTCAAAATAGACAAAAATTCTTTGATCATTCATTGCCATTGTAGGGGTTTCGAAAACGATTTTATCAGACCCGTGAGCCAGCTGCGGCAGGTTTGTAGGTGGAGTGGAATACAGGATCACTTGTGAAGGGATGTCTTAATCAACCTTTGCTATTTTTGAATTGATAGAATGTACTGGGAAAATCGTCAGCAATAGATAAAGGAAACTAGAAGTAAACGACATAGTACGAAATTATTTATGCATTGAAGGAAGGAAATACATTCCGGATGACTTGCCAGGTCACAGAGGGCAGAGGGATCACTAAAAAAAATAAGCCCAAAAACATGCAGAGAGCACATGCACTGATAGAAAGACCCAGCTAAGTTCGAACGTCGGTCGGACGATATCAGAAGAGAATGCCACGCGGTGATAGGTGGCAAAGCCTGGGGTAGAAATCGGACCACGTGGCCCGATCACCGAGCCCGTGGCATTGACGCCCTCATCTCCAATCTTCTCCAACGGTCGACTAGGCCTTTCGCACGGTAAAGGCTGACCGTCACGGGAAATACTGACTACGGTGGAGGGTACTTACCGTTGTGAGAGACATCAACCAGGAAAACTTTATCATCTAGGCATTATCTCTCAGTCCTTCAAGTTTCTTTCTTTCTTGTCGCAGGGCCGCTTTTCTTCGAATGGTTTCTGAGTCAACATCGCTCCTTGACGAGGTATCTCGGCATGAAGAAATCTATAACCGATTTTCTCCTGCGAGGAAGAGGACAATCGTGGCTCTCGTATCATGGAGCGCTATGGTTCCCAGTTGAGTTCAAATGGTGCAATTCCCAGCTGGACTGACTGTTTCGTGGCTAGTGTTCGCGTCAGGAACTTTTATACCCGCAATACCTCAAATCGCACATGATTTGAACTCGACGGGGTCAACAATCAGGTACCAATGCTTCTTTAGAATGTTATCTTGTCGTCTAACGATGTCGTAGCTTGGCTGTTAGTCTATCAATGTTTGCTGCTTCACTGGGTGGTATGACTTGTGCAACGTACAGTGGTTTCTGTAAGTGCTGTGCTTCCGAAAAATACAGGCTCTAAGAAACGTTGTAGATGGACGACGACTAATATATCTTGCCAGCATTCCTTTTCTCACTCTCGGTTCCATTGGCGTCGCCCTGTCACATAATGTCCCTGAGATGATGGTCTGGCGGTTTCTTCAAGCGTTTGGGACCTCTGGCGGAATGTCTATGGGAGCGGCGATCATTGGCGATATCTACAAAGTAACGGAACGTGGATCAGCTATGGGGATATTCTTCGGGGTGCCACATATCGCTTCTTCTGACCCTGATGGATCTTCTAATGAATTTCTCAGGCGACTTTGCTTGGCCCAGCACTCGCACCTCTAGCAGGAGGTACGGATGTTATCATAATGTCGACCAATTATTTCATCTTTTCATTTAATTCAGGATGGGGAGCCCACTACGCGTCGTGGCGGTGGACACAAGCTACTCTAGCTCTCGCTGGGTTTCTCGCTTTCGTCTTGATGTTGTTTTTCCTTCCAGAAACCAGCCACCCAGGAACTCGGGGGATCGATAAGATGCACGAAGACGTAGAAAGCACCCCAAAACGATGGACATGGGTTTGGCTGAATCCTCTCGCACCCCTGGCTCTTCTACGTAGTCCTCTTCTGATGCTAATGGTACGAGAGTCCTTTGCAATCTTGTACTCGAGTACTTATATCATTTAGACATTTGTTGGCGCAGCAATCTCGATAGCATATTATGGTGGGCTTTGGAGATTTCTCTCTTTCTGGGATTTCATCCTCACAGTTTGTCAGCGTTGTTCGTACCTATCGCGTATACTATTGTACGCGTGCTTGACTTTCTAAACGCGTTCGACACTCATATCTCATAGGGTGCCAAATACAACATCACCAACGAGTTCATTATAGGAGCCTGCATTCTGCCTGGAGGAATAGGTAACATAAGTGACGTTTCCTTTCCTTCCCATCCGTTTTTTCTTCCATCTGAAGTTTTCACCTTCTAGTCGGCGCGCCATTGGCAGGTCGCCTCTCCGACCGCGTAGTCATCGCTTCTCGTAAGAAATACGGCATCGATTCGTGGCGTCCAGAAGAGCGACTGAAGGCTGCCCTCGTCGGTGCGCTCATCCTCGTCCCGCTCCCTGTCCTCCTTTCGGGGCTTATCACACAATACATCGACGGCGAGCTCGGTCTCGTTCTGAACCTTATATGTTTCTTCATCAACGGTGTTGGGGCGAATACAGTCCTAACGCCTCTTTCGGCATACATGGTGGATATCATGCATTCCCGCAGTGCCGAAGTCATGGCTGCTTCATTGTATATTTCTAACTAGCATGCATCCACGAGCTGACTTTAGTTTTCAGGTGCTCCCGGGCAATGATACTTTCTGTAGCTGTTGCCTTCGTGTTGCCGTTGATCAAGCTCTACGGTGTAGCCATCGCCGACGGCGTCATATCATTGATCGGGTGGCTCGCGTTTGTGTGAGCCAAAGAAACTTCGATTTGCCTGCCTTCTAACTGACATTGATTGTATGATAGTTTGTTGTGGGTGGCCATACGATACGGGAAGGAGATGAGAGGCTGGGTAGATATAGGATTCTCAACGGCAGAAGATACCTAAGACATGGTGTTTTATAGAAAATGGACAGAGTAGTGATTGGGTAACCGTGACGACGCTAAGTCTGAAGGGCCTCGTTCTTCGAGAATTGTTTTGCCGGACTAGCTGTAGAGGCTAAACTTAGCGAGGCCGCTCGGGCTACGTTGTGCATCTGCGTTTCGAGATGATGGAAACTCGGCACTTCTGTACACCGATGTACGGAAACCTGCTTCAACTTCCCTTTGGCCGGTGCTATCCACGTAACCACCGTCCCCGTACGTTTCTTTCTCACCCACTTTCACTCTGCTGGATCGTTTACAAGCGTGGAACCCGGCTATTGATAGCTCGGACCGTGTCTCCATCACTGACATCAGACATAAATACCCTATACCGATGTGAAAAGGCATAAATTCATAAATTTTACATCCCGTTTTTGAATCTGCCTAGGCTTGTAAGTATGAACTAGGTCCTCCACAGAAATCATTCTTGCTTGACATACGTGGACCAATATCCCAAGGCCCTGGTGGAACACCCGTTTATCGATGTCGTGTTCCACGTATCTCATCTAACATATTCCTCGCATGAACTCGGCACCCGTAGTCGAACGGCTATCTCCCTTAACATATCCGGGTCGCACTGAAGTGCTCGCATGTCCCTGGCAGCGCCACTGTCGATATATCAATGTCGCATTCAGCGTCGCACTTGGTTATCGTACGATCTTGAGGGTATGTGAGACTTCTAGTGTTATCATCCCTTTCATTGGGTTCATTACTGATGCTGGCATTTGTTACGGGACTCGGGGTGTGTTGCAGTCGTAATCTCGGCTCAACAGGAGCTACTGAATTCACATACTAACAATTAACTCCAACGAAGTGATGTTACTTTAAGAAAGCATGTGAAGTACAAGTTCAAGTTCGGGTAATAAGTACTACTTATGTAGGCGTGTCAAGGTCACATGCGCGCGATTTTACCGGGCCGTGGGAAAATGGTCGGCTAGTTTTCTTACTTTTCCTTTGTTTTTCCTCCCCCTAATAAGGCGGTGTATAGACGAAAAAGGATGCACCATTTCATGGGTCGCACGTGCATCACATCCTGTGACCGTGCTGCAGTTGGCAGATTCTGCAGAATCAACTCATATTTGGACCCGGTATTTTCAAACGTCAATTTTGACTCCGGCCGGACCTCACTTAACTCTGTGCCGTCTAGTAGGCCTCGGGAAGTGTGAGAAGTACCATATGTGGGCCAATGAAGTACGCTTGCTCGGAACCCGGAGCATGGGTAGGACCTGGACTGGCAAAGTATTCAAAGACACCGTATGCGAAGGATGATCTACGAAAGTTCGGTGTTCACAATTCAGCGAGTATGCTCGCGGTAAGGAACAAGTTCCGGGCAAGAAGATCCGTCTACATGCATGCGCGCTTGATGACAACGATACTGAAGGCAGTATTTAAGACCTCTTGACTTTTTTATAGCAACTCGATTGTATCGCAGGGATGATTCATATTAATACAAACGCTGGAATTATCTGTCTCATTGCCCTGCTCGTGACTTTCTTCTCCATTTCTTGGCTCAAACGAACCTCAGTAAAGCATGTGCGAGGACCACCATCTCCCTCTATTTTGCTTGGTGAGATTCTCTCTCACACATTTCCATATCAAACTTGACAATTTGAACAGGTCATGAACGCGTCCTTCGCAATCGATCTAATTTCGGAGAGCTGGAGATGCAATGGGCTCGATATTATGGCAATGTTTACCGTATCCGTGGCTGCTTTGCTGTTAGTGATGCCTCATTCTGCTGTTGCTTCGTCACTCATATACATTACTTGTCCAGCAAGATATGCTTGTTGTATCGGATCCGACAACTATCGGATATATCATATCAAGTTCCTCGTCTGGCAACCGCTTCCTTAAAACAAAGGATTCCACATTTTTGGTAGACCTCCTCCTGGGACAAGGCCTAGTCACAGCCGAGGGTACGTCTATCCCACGTAGCTTCTGCTTTTACATTAAACTTTATGAACAGGAGAAATTCACCGTCGCCAACGGAAAGTCATCAATTCGGCTTTCTCTCACTCACAGCTCCAGAAATTGCAGCTGCGTTTCCAAGACAGCAGTGATAAGGTACGATTTGTACACCTGCATGCAGATGAGATATTCAAGGAGTGTATATTAGCTCGTTTGCATGATCCGGGATTCTCTAGATGCCGGAGCCACCGTGTTCAATGTCTTGGACTGGACCGGGAAGGTTGCGATGGATATAATCGGTCAGGGTGAGCCATGCTTCTCTTCTGATAGGATCTCAAAATTATGTGCTTTGTAGCTGCATTTCAGTACGATTTTTGCTCCCTCGATGGCAAGGAGAACGAGTTAAGGGAGGCCTTGAGACACGTTTTGTAAGATCGTCTTATTCGGGGAAACGCTCATCCGAATTACTGATTCCTATCTGTCCAGCATTGACTCACAATCAAATCCTTCGTCGCGGGAGCTCATGCTTACGTCTCTGATTAGGCACCTTCCTGATACTCTGCTAAAATTCCTGAAGCTCGTTTCCACCCGTCAGACATGACATCTTTCAAAAGTAGGCGGCATGGCGAAAAAAGCAGCTCGGGAAGTTTTCAGCCAAAGAACGGGAAACGATGAACCAGGGAATAAGGATCTCCTTGGTGTCCTAGGTTAGTCGTCACCAAACCATCATTTACAGTTCTAGTATCTGAGCTATCTTTTTAGCAAAAGCGCGTGGCGCGGGTCAGATGAGAGACAATGAAGTCGAGGCACAACTTGCGCAAGTGTTATCTTTGCGGGTCTAAATTTTATTGACATCTTTCCCGCTGTAGCACATTTGTCGTTGCGGGACACGAGACAACAGCCACTACCCTAGGGTGGCTTTTATACGAGCTTGCTGCACATCCCGAAGATCAAAACAAGATACGTGAAGAGATTTCGCAAGCTCGCTTGCAGAACGCCAAACTTTCCTCGAACGAGTATGATTCGATGCCGTTTCTAAACGCTACCATCAAAGTACGTGGCTGAGCAAAGTTCGGGCTTGTTATGCGGTTCTGATTTCAATCGTTGACAGGAAAACCTTCGCCTACACCCTATCGCACCCACCCTTATGCGTAGGGCAGTTCAAGATGATTCCCTTCCACTGTCCGAACCGATCATTACCGAGGATGGGAAGATCTTGAAAGACATTCCTATCCCTAAAGGACAAACAATTTATTGTTCAATATACACGTATAATCGGTACGCGTTACTGTTTCTGATGATTGACATTGGAGGGTCTAAACATTGTCAGGCTGCCGAGTATCTGGGGCCCTGACGCAGATCAGTGGAATCCAAACCGATTTATTGGCGACGTAACTCAGCCTCGCACTCCGCTCGGGATGTATGGCAATTTGTGAGTAAGAATCGACGTACTCGTATTGAAACGAAATCTGAATTTGTCTCTGTAGGATGACATTTGGTGAATCCTACATCTCAATCTAATGACTCACTCGCTCAATTAATAAATAAGGCTCCGGAACGCGTTCATGCATAGGGTGGGTCTTCACTTGTTTCCCGTTTCCAGCACTGAATTCTAAGTGAAAAATTCAAGTTGGGAGTTCGCGTAGGTCACCTTCAAGCCAGAGTCTATGGCCGGTATCTAACCTGGAACGATAGGATCATGGAAATGCAAGTCATCATTGTCGACCTTCTGAAGCATTTTGAGTTCAGTTTACCGGAGGGTCTGAATGTGCAGGAATATCCGGCTGGACTGGTGATTGTCCCCGCGGTGGAGGGCAAAGCTAACCAGGGTTCTCAGGTTCCGTTGCGCGTCTCCGTTTTAGGATGAAAGAGACTCAGTTGGTGCCAAGGACCTCCTGTGATAATTTAGATGGCGCACTTGATCATTTCTTTGTACAAGATTGCGTTGTGTTGAGAATTGAAGTTTTTAGGTGCAAAGGATGAATTCTGTAGTTTATAGGTTTTCACATCAACGAGCTAAAACAAAAATCAAGTCGCCTTCTCTACTTAAATTAACATTGAACATTGTCTTTGAAGTATTGGTTGTTGTTACCAACAATATTACCGGCGGGGCTGTATTCGCAAGTGAGGTACCTGTCGAACAAGGGAAGATAAGCTTCTAATTTCACACCTGACGAGAGAGAAAGAGAAAACTGACCATCCCAGCTTCCCATTAGAATCGCGACGGTTGACCCTTCTACACCGAACCTTGGTAATACTCTTCCCATATGGTGTCCTCCAAGCATCTTTCACGGGAAAAGGGAACCAGAACACTCGCACAGTTTATGTTATGGATCTCGTGTATTTTTCAGTCTGTACATGAGTCAACACATGCCTACTCTCAGCCTTCTCGGTCTTGACCTCGGCTTACTGATACTTTCTACTATTTTCTCTTACTTTCTCTGTTCTTCTTGCTGATACTAGAATACTACGGAATATTGTAGAATTATAATGACTCAATGCCTTACTAGTAGCATATAAATATTGTCTTTACCGTTGTATTAGGATCTCTTAAGCTAATTTTACTCATCTTCGAAGTCCACTTAATTGTGTGAACTAAGCATCTCTGATCGGTTATGCCAAGCGCTTGCCAATCAATTGCTTTCCGACTACGCCTAGCGCTTTTCGGAGACCCAGTCAGTTACGCCTAGCGCTTGCTGACGCCCTCGTTAACTACGCCTAGTGCTTGTTAGCACCCTTACGGATCCCTCTTGGTGGTTGGAACTCGGCTTTTGGACATCCTCGCTCTCAACTTAGGTTTTACTCGAGTATTCAGTAACTCGTGTATTAGCCAAAATACCCTGATTCTTAACATTGGTGGACACATTGGGACCACCTTGTAGAGGGAATTGTTTTATTCATTACTTCCTACTCACTTCAGCACTTTATCAAGCCTACTCGCACTGAATTCCAATATCATGCCTGAATCCATTTCAATGATCCATTTACCTGCTTCGCAATCTTCTCCCCCAACTCAGCATTTGCCTAGCGACTCGCTCGGCTTTCCAGATCCTCCAGCACCGCTTGTGTTTCCTGTCGACCCAGCAGACATTTCCGAAACTAATAGCCAGAATGTCACTTGCTTATGGCCAACCTGTGTTCCCCTTTTCATGTTCACAGAACATTCACATTTGCAGGAGCGCAAGGATCACGTTATTCAGATACTTAGGCTCAGTAGAAACCGGAAACTTGTGTATGGTCTACGAAGTGCTCATGTACTGATGCACAACCAGTATACTAATATCTTTTCGGAAGAAACATGCATGCTAGATCGTCTTCTCACATCCGTTTTCACCTGCACCATGTTCACAAAAGATGTTGTCTACAAGATGGATCAGAACATCTATCAGGAACTTCACACCAGGTTAATGACTCGCCGTGCAATAGCTTCCTCATCACTCAATTCATTTGGTTATTCAGATTTTAAAGTACCTACATGGGGCATCAACACCATGAAGGGCTTGACAGCCAACGATTTTGAGGTGTACGCTTTGCAGTATCGTATTCGCATCGAGCATTTTCTTCATATGCTCGATTATGTCCATGACTGGAATAATCTTCGGACACATGTATATCTAGATGAAAAACTCCTGGCAGCTCAGTGCAATCCTGACAGAGCCCGTGTCATGATAATGGAACATTACCTTCATGCGGTTCCTCCTGTACCACATTCCAATCCTTTCAAGTCGAAGACCTCTTTTCAGGCCTCGTCCTCTGACTTGAGTTGGGAGGGAGTACACTATACTGCGACGAGAGATGAGGAACAGCATCCTAGCAACTCACACGCCATTAAAACACAATGTCAGTTTTGTCAATGTGCGAATTCCAAAGTCTGCAAATCTCAAGATTTCGGTCGCGGTCGATATGAGAGTTTGCCTGCAGTATCCTACCGAGCTCAGTTTCCTGAAGACTTAGATTTCAGAAATCCTTCTGCGCACAAGAGCATTTACCAAGGATGTGCTCCTAGCGATCTTAACTCAAGTCAAGGTGGCAACAATGGAAACCGACTTCCATCTTGTCGTGGTCCATGCAATTCACAAATTCCTGTATACCCCGGTCACTCAGAGTATACCAGCATTGGTTTTGACACTGCTCTCAAAGTGATGGACATACCTACTTGCAACAAGAATCCAAACCTGAGGGATACTTGTGAGAACAAAGTCATTGATATTCCAGCCTGGAATAATAGCATCGGCAACCCAATCCTTCCCTATTCAACCAATAACGAGATTTGTACCTTTCAAATTGCTTCAAATATGCCTTGTGCACCCTTTTCAGAAAAGAACAAGAATCCCCAATTACCACGTAAAGTCAAACGTCGCATCGACCGACTGCTGAGAGGACCACTGCGAATATTCCATGCTACCAGCCAGGTCACGTCCACTAATAGTAATTGTCAGCGTACACTGATGGGAATGAGAGAAGGCATACTGTGGCTGTTGGGATTGATAATCATGAGAAGTGAAGCAACACGGGTCCAGGTAGAAGTGAATACCCTTGATCACAATGTCTTGCAGATGGTCCTCGACTCGAGCTCGTATATCCTGCATAACTCCCAAAAGGCACCTCGGAAGCTCTCTGCATGGCCTAAGGTTCCCATCAAGCAGAAGATGAACTTTATGGAGCAGACCAGGAGAACCAAACGTCGGCTATACAGTCTGCATCTCATCAGACATGGAGGGGAAGTTAAAACAGCTATCACATTGGCTACTGAGGGGTCGCATCAGATCGAAGTTTATGTCCTATCTGACACAAGTCAGTTCACCAAGCCCCAGAAATCTTGTCACCATTCAAAGCATCGAAGAGTATCAGGAGCCGTCTGAGCCAAAATAGGCCTTGTGATACCCATGAAACCTCAGGCAACTACAGGTCCCGTGGATAGATTTTTTGTTTTCCTTACATCCCTGATAAACACTCGCACAAATCCTATCACAGTGGAAGTCATGGTAACTGAACAAGCATCAAAATGGCTACTCATGGAACATTCACAGAGTGCCTTGCTCAATACAGTATCTTTGAAGCGCAAATTTCCAGAGAAAACTGAATGTGATCAATCAAATCAGAACATTCTGCTCAGTACCCATTCAAATGAAGTACCCTGCTCCATTTTTATCACGCCTACTACAATCTCTCCTGTTCTTCCTTATGGAAACACCGAAAGCAGCATACTCAGGTGCTCAACAGTCCTAGCACCGACTTTGCTGATATCAGAGATTCATATAAGTATCGTTGGACTCAAACAATGTAGTACTGATGCATCAGGATGTAATTTTGAAGGGATAAGCATGGAAGCCGAAGTCCTGACCAATAGTGACCGACACCGTCAGGAAAGACGCCAGTACACCAGACCCTTGAGTAGAGAGATCATGAATATTCAAAAGAAGTTCATGGTCAAGCTCGGTATTGTCGTTGACAGTAGAACTGGACGAGACTCATATACACATGGAGAGGAGCTAGTATCACATGCAATAGTGAGTGCAGGCCAAACAACATTGGGAACGATGCGATGGCGAAACGAAGTTCACAATCAATGTGATCATCATCAATATCATTCCCATTTTGGAAACAACTCACCGGCAACTACGAAAGCCAATTCCCCTTGCTATCATCACACAATAGAGCCGTCCTCCATTCGCGCATCTCCCAAACGACATTCTGGTACATATTGCGACGGAAAATATTTTGAATCTAGTATAAATGTTAAACCAGAGACATGTCATTGGGCTCAAACGTTTTGTCGATATTTGAAATATTATCCAGTACAAGGAGAGCTCCGACACCTAGGATACGGTGCTAGATTATCAACCCATGTTCTCTCCATGATAAGGCAATGTGTCCTATTTCTCAAACAACATGTCAGCCGAGAAACTCATTGGCAACAAGGAGAAGACTTACCCTCTGGCCTCGTCCACCGACTTCCTGTCCTTCGTATTTCCAACATCTGCTATTCTCTAAGACCAATAGGAAACTGGAATACAACCAGTCCTGTTCGTATTCCTGGCAAAGGGTTTTATGACATTTGTAGGGGAAGCCAAAAGATGAAACGATGACTACGCACCACACAAAAGAGTTGGTGTATTAGGACAGTGCATAATCTGCATCGACTTGCCATCCGAATTAAGGCCCAGACACTTCCAAATGCCGCCTCTGAAGGGTTCAGCATTGCCACCAGATGTAAACTCATCATGGCTTTCTTCCATTACCTTCCCAGCTTCATTTTCATTCTTGCAGATGAGGAACTTGAAGAATTCCTGCACTGTTGAGCCTTGCGTAAATTCCAAAATCCCAAATTTCCAGCAATTCCTACTGTGCCAGGGGACTGGGACCTTACAACTTGGCTTGGGGATCGACAGCAGCATGTCCTAAAGATTTGGTGCTCACCTCAATGGGAATTCCTTTGTCCGCTTATTCCAGAATTGATCGGTTTCCCTAGGTTTTCAGTTTACCCCCACCTGTTAATGATAGCGGAAGTCGCAGGGATTAAACAAGAATCAAAAAGACTACTCACAGATCATCCACCAAGTGTCGGGTTCAATACGGTATCATTGAAGCTCAGTTGGACAGAGAAAACTGAACACAAGAAATTAAATCAGTGTGTTCGGCTCATCAATAGCTCAGATGACATACCCAGTGACCGTTTTATCACATCTATCACAGTATCTCCCAGTATCCTCTCTGGACATACAGAAACCAGCCTTCTAGCACGTTCGACAAACCTAGTACCAACTGCGCCGCCATCTGAAGGTAATATAGAAGTCGCGAACCTTAGGTGATGCCTACATGCATCAGTAAATGAAATGAAAGAGACAGAGGCTTCGAGGCAATGCCAGAAGCTGGACGCAATCTCGAGCGTGAATGGAACGATGGTGGAATGGATTAGATGGCAAAATGATGGGGCCCATCATCAATATCATTCCTGTTTTGGAAACTGCTCCAAGGAACCGGCTCTTGCCGATTCTCCGCTTCATCGCATGAAGCCTTCCTCTATTCGCGTATCATCTGGGCTTCGTTTGTACCTATCCAGGCATCAAATAAGGTTTAATCCATTGAAAATGTTTCCCTTAGGTATTTACCCATATACATGCTTGTTATTGTGGAACAAGTTTGTCATTTACCCAATCTTTGACTCATTGACTCATGTAACAGCAAAAGGCCTGTCGGTAATGCCATTTCCGAAGGCAATTAACCTTGTGCTCCTATGTGAAGAGTGTAGAATCGTTTTGATATCAGGATTTGTGAAGTTACGGCCACAATCAGCAGAACCATTCAAATCTATGATATTTACTTGTTCTAATTCTTTTCATTCACTTGGGGTGTGCCTCGTTCCAGCATATGTAGACTGGGGGGGGCCATGTTATGGATCTCATGTATTTTTCAGTCTGTACATGAGTCAACACATGCCTACTCTCAGCCTTCTCGGTCTTGACCTCAGCTTACTGATACTTTCTACTATTTTCTCTTACTTTCTCTGTTCTTCTTGCTGATACTAGAATACTATGGAATATTGTAGAATTATAATGACTCAATGCCTTACTAGTAGCATATAAATATTGTCTTTACCATTGTATTAGGATCTCTTAAGCTAATTTTACTCATCTTCGAAGTCCACTTAATTGTGTGAACTAAGCATCTCTGATCGGTTATGCCAAGCGCTTGCCAATCAATTGCTTTCCGACTACGCCTAGCGCTTTTCGGAGACCCAGTCAGTTACGCCTCGTGCTTGTTAGCACCCTTACGGATCCCTCTTGGTGGTTGGAACTCGGCTTTTGGACATCCTCGCTCTCAACTTAGGTTTTACTCAAGTATTCAGTAACTTGTGTATTAGCCAAAATACCCTGATTCTTAACAGTTTAGGCATGGCTTCAGATTGATGCGTCGAATGCTACCCATGACAACAACTGCAAGTTCTATATTAAGTTGGTGAGAAATTATCTGGAACCGGTGGAGGGTGTACTCATGAGTGGCTGTGCTTGTGTTCATGTCAAGCTATGAGAATGCATCACTGTTCAGTGTCTCGGTGGAGCACTGTTTGAGAAAAACATCTTGTGCTCGAAGTTGTAGTATCGCTCCTTGCTATCCAGCATGTGGTTTCATGAACCAGAAAGATTGCTGCCCATATTCCCTTAATTTATGCTTCTGTCACTGCAAGATGACATACATACAACTCGTCATGATTCGTGTACTCGGCCGTATGTTACAAACAAAAAAGGTTATCTATCTGAGTGGAGTATGGAAGAACGAATTTTTGGGCTGCAAATTATGGAGTCAGGATTAGGTTGCAAAAGCAATAGAACACGCTTACCAGGAAAGGAGCACGTTGTGGTGTCAGAATTTACACACAGCGGACTGGATCACAGGAAACTAGTCTAAGCGCTGAGAAGCAAGCACATCAAGAGTGCATTACACAGCATGAAGCATGCAGAAGTGGTACCATGCCCTACCATGCCACCATGTCTGGTCATGAGGCAGATGTGTATACGTATTTGAATGAAGCTTCTCATGTTCTGACTTGACTCACGCCTGTGTAACAGATATCATTGGGCCGGTTCAGAAGCTGATACTTCCGTTATCCTTTGGTCTATCGGGATGACGCTGCTTCGAACAATTAGTATGCTGGCAGCAGGGCTGTGGGGTTTCACGTTGTGATGTGGTGGTGGGCAAGGTGGTGATGAGGTGGTGACAGGAATTTTGCATTGGCCACAGGTTTTCCTGGGTGATTTCTTTGAAGAGGAGCATGTTTTCACATTGGATTCAGTAGCTGGAATATTCAGAATTGTTTTTGGACAACTCTCAAAGGATATGAGCGTGCAGCATGCTGAAGAGGATGAAGACGAAAGTTTTGCATTCGATGCTTCTAAATATGGTAACTAGTAACTGAAATTGGCTGTGCCTGTCATGATGTCAAGTTTGAAATTCATTATGCGACATCAGGCCCACCCAGTGCTTCTCACTGCCTGGCAGCCGAACAGACCCATAGTGCTTAGGATCAATTCAATGCTCTTTCACTTACTGCAGCATTGAGAAATGAGCTTGACATTCAAACGGTAAGTGAATGGTTTAGTTTAGTTAGTGAGCAACTTGGAGCACCTAATGAATACCCTTCCAGAGCCTTAGTACCTGCCGTTAAATCTGTTATGGATCTGCCGAAATCTGGAGATGTGAGCACGAGGCGAGGAGTGGTGATCAAAGTGAGGTAAGAGTAATTAGGAATGATGTATGTTGTTAGGGAATATAATGGATTCTGGTGAGGGTTCGTGAGGAGACCTGAGTGGTCCGGTTTGCGAAATAAAGGAAATCAGTAAGCGCAAAGCAATTACTGAGGGAAGTGGCTGGTAAGCACGGAGCAATTACCAATATAGAAAGCCTGTAAGCGCGAAGCTATTATGGGCCGAGGGTGAAGGCAAGCGTTAAGTGTAACCTTCGGGTTGGTGTCAGAAAGCGCTAGGCGTATCCAACGAGTTGTTCAGCAAGCGCTAGGCGTAACTGAGGGTTCACGCAGTGAAGGTGTCCTTATAGTAGTAGATTGGTAAAAGCTTTTTTAATACAATGTTACCTACGAGTTTATATACTAAGGAAAGATTAGAGTCATTATTATTCTATAATGTTCCATAATATTCTAGTATCAATACGAAGAATAGAGAAAGTAAGAGAAAGTATGAGCAAGTCACTACTAGGACCAAGAAGGCTGAGTTCGGGCATGTGTTGACTCATGCACCGAATCAGTGGATACCCAATATCCATAACAAAATCCCTCTACTGATGTATATCGACTGGTTTCGCCAAGGTAAGCTGTAATTTCCTATTCCTTAAGCCAAGCTAAAGT